ATGTGAAAGCCAGTACACATTATGACGTAATTTTATGTCGATTAAAAAAAATCAATTAACACTGTAACCAAAGTTCAATAAAATTATATAACAAAGGCAATGCATGTAAAATTTTAAATTGATGTAGTATGTACAAACGAATCTTAAAACATTAAAAACGACTAGATCTCTTAAAATATGTAATAAACAATTGCACATTTAAAAATAAACTTCCATTTTCAGAAACACCAATCGAATTGTCTCCCCATAACAGAACGTGAGTGTCTACAATACATAAGTATAACATTCTAAAAAAAAGCATTGAACAGGTCGTTTCTTTAGACAGTGTATTTCGAACAAGAGAAAAAGACTTGATACGCGTCTTCTATTTTTCCACAAGTGCATAATGGAGTGTCAATAATACTGTATAGCAGGTTAAAATCGCGGTCGGAAAGAATCGCGGTGTGTTCAATTTCAGCAAATCGCGGTTGTTTGAATTCGCGAAAATGAACAACCATACATTTCTTAAACAGTACTTGACTTTACGCAGTAACTTACAGTAAGTAAACCGTAGTTAAAATGTTAAACCTTTAATCATATAATTGGAATGAATTAATTGTCGTTATCCTGTTTACTACATAAGTGTTTTTAATAAAGGTAATGACTGAGTGAAACGCGCAGGTGAAATTAAACAAGCATATGTTATGAAATGATAATATCGTACATCCACTAGATAACAAAATTAATCGTTAGCTAGGAGAATAAATTAAACAATTAATAAGCTTAAAAACATTAAGAACAACGTGTTTGTAATATTGATCTATACACTCGCAAATGCATAAGGACAGTCTACATCTAATCACAGAAAATAAAAAAAATATTAAATTATCCTTATAAACATTTTAAAGAATTATTCACTGTATGTTGAATTTGCGATATTTTTAAGCAAATATAGCGAAAATTTACTCTGCGAGTTAATTTCCTGCTGTAAGTATTACACCTAAATAAGTCTTTATTTAGAACACAAATTTGTCTTAGTCTAGCATGGATGACACTCCAGTATCGATCACCAAAAGTAAAAAAGGACGATGTAGGTGTTCTCTGGGAATTTATACAATTTTTGAAACAAATGATGATATATATATTATATATATATATATATATATATATATATATATATATATATATATATATATATATATATATATAAAGCACTAAAAAACCAACAACACTGTATATCCTAAATGTCGGATCTACCAAATAGATACAAGGTTACGGATGGAAATTTATATAAAGCACTAAAATGACCAACGACACGAACAATAAAAATTGTCAAATTTTCGGGACACCCTTTCCCTTCCTCAGGACGAAGAAAAAAGTTAAAAAGTCATAAAAACAAAGGATAAAGGGGAAACAAAAAGAACTAGCACTACTACTAAACTACTTAACACTAGACATTTACATAATTACATGTTAAATTGGAAATATTAAGAACACTGATAAAGAAAGAAATCCGGACCGCTGTGAAATGCGTCTGGTCTATCGGGTATACTCGGGTGAAGTGCGATTTACATAATTGAAAGAATTAATTATGCTAATTAACTAAAATAATCAGTAAATCGTACATTGTTTCGTTATCTCAAAATGGCGTAACTTTACTTAATAAAGAGTAATCAAAGAAAAATAATATTGTAGAGATATTTAAACATATGAATTATGATCCATTATAAATTTTGAAATATTTAAGGATTTATTACCGGGAAAATTTTTTTAACAAAAGCGTAAACAATAAATAGTTTTGTGATAATTGAACGAATTAACTATGCTAATTAATTACGATAATCAGTAAATCGTACAGTGTTTCATTCTCTCAAAATGGCATAACTTTACTTAATAAAGAATAATCAAAGAAAAATAATATAGCAGAGATATTTAAACATATGAATTATGATCCATTATAAATTTAAGGATTTATTACCCGGAAAAAAATTTTAACAAAAGCGTAAACAATAAATAGTTTTGTGGGTTGTCCGAGAGTTGGTGACGCAAATTAACAGTAGAGTTACAGTGGCTGGAAAGTTATTGTTGACAACTTACACGAACGATCACGCTACACGAACGATTCCGCACGATTAACGCACGATTACAGTGTAAACCTGTTACACGAACGATCTTTCACGTTCACGATTCTACACGTTACACGATCTTGCACGATTGTTAACGCAAACGCACGTTTCTTCACTCAAAATAGTTCAAAATATTTAGGAATTAATATTTTCAAAATGAAATAAAGCTTAATACTTATTTAAGATTTCAAAGAATCAAAATATTATTTCATAGACTTTAAAAAAACGGAAAATGATATTTCTGTAACTAAATATATGCAAGACTTAATATTTCAGATTTAAAATAATCATTTCTAAGGTAATTCTCCGATAAAAAAAAACGGATTTTGTTCTTTCTATTAGACGATGTATATGTATGGGGGTCGTATAATTTGATTGAATTTGATATCATGATATGCAGAAAGGGGGATACGATTCAACAAAAATGGCAGCATTGAATGACTTAAATAATAATTACAAATTTTATCCTCATGTTTCCATTCATTCAATGTCTGATAAACTTGCTAATTATTCAACTTTTTTATTTGCAGAAATTTAAAATCAATTTGTTACAAATAAGCTCAAGAGATAAACACAGATAATCAAAACTCCCAAAAATCATGCCGTGTGCATGTATATTTGTCGACTAACTACACACTGTAGCTCTGTCAGCATTGCAAAATGTTTATTTCTTTGCAAAAAAAAATATTTATTTTCAATGAATTGATTTCAAGATTATCTTGACCTTAATAAGAAGTAAAATAATTAAATCAGATTTTTCAGAAAGGCGTAAGAGATCAAAGTACGGTTTATCACAATATTGATCGCGCTATTTGACGAGAACTTAATAATGTACGACTTACTTTGCTTGTTTACGAGCGAGAATTAGTTCGTTCTGCATTCTATTATGTAAATTGCGCTATTTCATTTAATTTTGATTTTATTTAATAAATTAAAAAAAATCAAACAAGGAAATGCTTATTTTAGAAATAACATTCCGATAAAAACTTACAAAACGAAATTTACACGATTCTAAACGCACGATCTCGCACGGTAAAAAACGCACACGATTAAGTCTGATACACGAACGACCTTTCACGTAAAACGAACGATCACTCGCGATACACGAACGATTCTACACGATTGGTTTGTCAACAATAACATTCCAGCCACTGTAACACTAAATTGAGAGAATAATCTTGTTTGGTATCATCAGGAATTAGGTCTAGTTTACATTCATTCTGGTGAAGGCATTCAGTTTGTTAATGCCATTAGGGCGGAATGACTTCAATCTGTGCATCCAGAACTTCTCTTTGCTTTTTCTCTGAGCATCTGTCCATCTTGGGTTATGGTCAATCGACACTACTGTCATGTCCTCCCATTTGTGACCCTCAAGGTTGAAATGTTTCCCAACGGGTTCATTAATGGTTGAGCGGTGGTTATTAACTCTCCTGCGGAGATCTCCTGTTTCACCAATATACTGTTTGGAGCAAACTTTGCAACTGATGAGATAAATGCAGTTGTCAGTCTGACAGGACAAATTCCCTAGTATGTTGTAGCTGCGGCCTGTAACAGGGCTGCTAAAACTAAAATATATTTACCAGTAATGGATCAAAATTTATAATTCTTACTTTATTTTTTTCTTACTATTTTTTTAAAATATGTACAGGAAATACAAAATGATGCCATGGAGAACATAAAAAAGTTTCGAGTTAGTTCATAATTTTAAATTTTCAAAATAATAAACACAATGTAACATGCTCAAATTGTGCGCTTAGATCAGACCGCTTTCTTTTATACGCGTACATTTGTTACCTCATAAAAATTGATGAATTCGAATGACTAGATCTGAATTCATTTTCAATCACCTGTTTTGATAACGTTACAACGTAGCTGAAATGAAGTTGAAGATATAACCTATTTATTATAACTCGTTTGCTCATAATGTTCTTTTAAACGAGCTTTATCTTTCAAATCTTTTCCTATATTCATTCTTTTTTTATCTACGAAAACAGTGAAAGAAAAGGGAAATACGACTTTTTTTCAATCACAAAACTTCATTTATATACAATAATATTGTAGATTGAGGATGGAATTGAAAAAATTTCTATACAAGATATCCAAAGGCACAGACAAATATTTGATGAATTGAAGGACAAAACAGAGGAGAAAAACGATTGCTTACAATCCTTTTTAGAATGCAGAAAGTTGATATGTTGGCTTCGAGAAACAATGAAAAGTAAGTCTTTCAAATTTCACAATAGATTTTCCTTGGCATAATATATTTTCTAAAAAAAAAATGACACACACACACACACACACACCCTCACACACACACACACACACACACACACACACATATATATATATATATATATATATATATATATATATATATATATATATATATATATATATATATATATATATATATATATATATATATATATATATATATATATATATATATATATATATATATATATATATATATATATATATATATATATATATATATATATATATATATATATATGTCATTTTTTGTTAGAAAATATAAAATGACCTAAGGGCAAATGCTGCAAACAAATAATGAACTTGGATTAGTATCATCGCAACTGATGCAAAAATAGGTTTCCAGAATATAAGAAATTGTAAGCCTTCTGTGAAGTTCAAAATTTTTTAACCTTCTGAAACCATACTTATTATTCTATACAAATGTTTTTTACTTCAAATTCCATTTTTGTGCAACTTGCATGAAAAAAATTAAAAACTAAAATGAGAAAGCATTTGATTTTTATAATTTAAACATGATCGAAGTTTTTACTTTTTTATAATTTTGACAAAAATTTGTATCATTTGTCCTCAAATTAGAACAAAGTGATCCAGTATCTGTTATTAATGTACATAGATGGAATGAAAGACCTGAAGTCGTACTCAGATTTAGCCTTAATGTCTCTCCATGCTGAAAGTGAGGACCGCTCCATGCGCGTGACAAATTTGCATACAGTCACAATGGCGTACTCCCCTTTGATATTTAATTACATGAATATTAAGGGGGAGAAAGAACTAATTAGAAAATGTTCAGAGGTTTGGGAGAGTCAAGAAAAAGATCCAGATCTTCCTAAGAAGCTGGTAAATAAATGTTATTTATTCTATTGGTCTATGTTAATTTTTTTTTACAAAAATTATATAAGAGTGATAAATCTTCAACACATAATGATTAATAGAAGAACTCATTAACAGTTTTTTTTTTCGAGGTTGTTGTTTTTTTATTTTTGTAAAAGATATATAAAGTTATTAATGAATCGTATGTTATATAGAGCATCGCACATCAGTTCTTAAACTGGTTCAAAACACTGAAAGAAACGCACGGGCACGTGGAACTGAATTCATTGAAGCAGGTTGATCTGATCATAGAAAAAGGAGTGTTTTTTGTAGGAAAAACAAACTTTTTGTTTAGAGCAAACGAAAAGTATTTCGTAAGTATTTAAACCATTTTGAAATTTTCAGTTAGGGATTGTATTCTTAATACCACTCATGGGTACATGTATTGGCCAGAAAGGATTGAGTTGAGACAAGGAATGACGGTTCACAGATAGTAAATTAGAAAAAAAAATTCAGTGAACTCCCATCATCGAACACATTAAAATTTGTCAAAAGTATAGAAAGTATTTCTTTTCTGTTTTCCATTTACAAAGAAAAAAGCAAAGTTTCTATACCAATCGGCCTTTGACCTCTTTAATCCCAAAAGTGAAGTAAAGAACCTGTGCAAATTCCTGTATTATCTTTAAATGTTGCAGAAAACTTTAATTTTCAGTAGAAAATTCTTTAAAAAACAATGAAGTTTTTGAGAAACGTATATGTTAGAAGCATTTTACACAGTTTATCTAAACATTGGAGTGGGCCACCGTTTTTGACACAGAAAAGAGTCTTTGGTGTGGGGTATATTGTGTCATCACACTTAAAGAACAGTGCAGAATTGCTGTATTTACTACTTAGTATAAAATAAAGATTAGAAAAACAAAGATTAGAAGGTAGAAACAAAATGGAGGCGCGCCTCCCTTTTTAGCACTCCCTCCTACGCAAATATTTGGTATTTTCTTTTCTAATCAATCAGTTAATTGGTGTTAGAAATTCTTTAATGAATTGAAGTTGTAAGCAAAGAAATATAAAATATCAGGGAAATTACTCTTTAAAAAAACATATATTGACTTTGTTTTGATGACAAACCTATTTCTGAAATTAAAGAATAGAGGGATTAATAAAAGATTAATTCATTTTGAATTTTGTAATAATGGACTCCTTCGACATGAAACAGTAATATTAAAACAAATGTAGGAAATTAAATGTATTTTTTTCTTTACTAAATCATATACATTTGAAATTTCTTTCTTTGGCTTTTTGAAAGAAAAAATACGCATGTAGGTAGTTTTTTTAACGCGTCAAGCATTTTTAGCGTTGTATGTTTAATTTTATTTAAATCAGAATTAAAAAAGTTTTCGAAGCTTTTGAAAAAAAAAAACGGGAAATATCCAGATTTTCAAAGGAATTTTATATTACAAAAAGTTAGTTAGGACAACATACCCCCGTTTTTTCGATTTATTTTGCCTCTAACCATAAAATATTTGCCGACATCCCTGACATAATAAAGCACACTCTGCTCCACATCATATCTTGTGATCGCCCTCAACCAATATCAGACCACCGGCTGATTGGGTATCTCAGGTTGATGCAGGATTTTATATGAAAAAGATGTGTATTACTCTAACTATATTTTTGATAACTTAATTATGACTCAATAATTTTGATCTTCTTCAAGCGAGTTATCTGATGACCTAAGTTTCCTATAAATAGTCTTTATTTTTTTGTTTAGCATAACCTACTTCGTACTGGAGATGAGAATATTATTGGATTCAAAGTCACAGATACAATAAAGGTAACCATATCTATTTCTTAGGATTCTTTTGATAATTTCATCAAATCTTTTGAGTTTTAGAGCATCCAAATGTACATAAAATGTTACACAAGTACGTTTTCCGATGATTAAAAACATGTACTTTTTGCGTACTTTGAGAGAATCTTTACTGAAACACATTTTAATGAATTAACTTTATTGATAAAGCACATTTTACATCTACCTTAAACTAACATAAGCGCTCTAAGTAACTTGAATAAAAGGAAAATGTAAATCAATCAGGTATTAGCTTTCCTAAAAAGCTAATCCCACGTGGTTTCTGAAATTCATAAAGCAGAGTCAATTTAATTCAATTTATTCAATCAAAACCATGTAAATGGTACAAAAACATATATAACATTTATATATTCAACAAAAAAGAAACGCATATTGTTTTACTAGTCAAAGAAATTTTTAAAATGTACATGGAACAACTATTTTTTAATTCATTGGATACCTGTGACCTTTTTAAAGGACAACATGGGGTTTTGAAACCCAAATGTTGAATTATCTCCCTTGATTAAACATGTTTGCGAAAGTAGTAATTTTCATGAATTCTTCTTAATCGGATGTCTATTTTCGTTGATATTTTGGATTTAAAGAAACTATTTACGCTCCTACTAAACCCATATTTAAGATTTGATTGCAGAGTTGATGCTTCAATGCCACGCCGAAACAAAGATGAACACATCCAGGCTAACGATGATACTAAGCGGAGCTACGCAACAGGCAGGACCGTCAGACCCCCCCCCCCCCCTTTCAGCACCTGAAGGGATTCATAACTTGCTATAAAACTGCTGCTACAATTGTTGGATGAAAAAAATCAGCATAAAAGTGCATAAATTGTTCGCAAGGGACTTAAAAGAGATATTCCTCCACGATATCCGTACATTGGAAACTCACCAGCATTGAGACGTCGCACAGTACATATTGTTATGTCCCTAGAATTTGGGGGCGATGAAAATGGCATCAACTTGACTTTTCTATTTGCAACATATAATACAGTTGCAAATTATTATTGATTATACATATAATAAGCCGGTCTAGCAGAAGGTGATAACTAAGAAGAACAGACAAAATTATTAATTTTAGAAATAAATGCACATAATATTTTCAAATAATCAACATCATTTTGGCACATGACTTCACTAAACTTGATAATATTTTGCTTAGAGCTAAATTTTTGGTTGAAATAAACTTAAAAAGAGAAATCAATACTGATATATACTCAACAAAAAAAGAAACACAAATTCAAAATAATATCAAAATCTACGTTATAAGTATTTCAGTGATTTTAGAGTGTGTTATGATAAAAATCAAACATGTCCTATTTTGCAAATAGAAAAGTCTAGTTAAGGCCATTTTCATCGCCCCCAAATTCAAGGGGCATAACAATATGTACTGTGCGACGTCTCACCCCTGCGAGACGATCATGAATAATTCATGAATTTCCTTGAATTTTTCATGAATTTAATTCATGAAATGTTCATGAATTGTTCATGAATATCCTATGAACTTATTATTGGACATTTTCAAATCATGAATTTTTATTCATGAAAGAAAATTGATGAATATTCATGAATCTTTTTTTTTCATGAATAATTCATGAAGAGTCATATTCATGAAGATTCATCATTTCAAGAATGTCCAATAATAAGTTCATAGGATCTTCATGAACTATTCATGAATAATTTGATGAATTTTTTCAAGAATGTTCATGAATGAATAAAATTCATGAACAATTAGCATTCATGAATATTCTTGCTTATTCGTAAACAAAAAATGAAATATTATTATTCATGTTTATTCATGAAAATGCATGAAGTCATGCTAAAAAAGTAACAGTAGATGATTTATAATACAGCATTTTGAAAGATTTTACAGAAATGTTATTTGTTTTCCAACCATGGCAACAAAATCTTTGCTAAAAAAATTAAAATAGACAATCTAACACATTAAACCATAGTAAATGAGTAATGTAGTTCATTCCTGGTAAAAGTATAAAAAAAAAATTCAATTCAAATGCAACTCTTTGCAGAATGTTTAACCTTACTTGGTCAAAAGGAGAGGGGGATCCTTCCTCAGCATGTTTCAAATTGTGTTTTAATGCCAGAAATTGAACAGTTTTTAATTCCAGTCTAGGAGAAAAGTTTGTTCAGCACCAGGGAAACAGTTTTCAGTGCTTTCAAGCAGTTCGAGCAGAGATGGTCAATTCAAAAATCTTTATTGTCTCTCCATGTGGAATTTCCAGAATTTCATCATTTGGATCCTTTGATTCAATATCATTCATATTTTCATTTTTTTTGTTTCTTTTTCAAGAGCTCAGATTTATTGTGCAGCCAGAGTTTCTTCTCTTCTGCTCATCAACATTTGTTAACTGCTTCTCTTTTTCCTTCAAAAAGAAAGATTTTCTGAAAGTACCCATGATTGTAAAACATAAGACTTTTTTGTATTTTCTTGCATTTTAGATTCATTTAATTCTGCATCAGAGACACTTCCAAATTAAAACATTCTGAGTGGAATTTAAGCCTAATTTCTTGGACCATCATTTTGTAGATCAATCAGGCCTATGAATGTTTTGAGTCTCAGTCTATAATTAATGTATGTTATATGGTTGGATCCAAACTCAAAGCAAAGTTAGACAAAAATTGCATTAAAAAAAGACATATTAATTTATTCTAATGTGCTTTAATTAGTTGTTATTTTACAAATAGACAGTAACATTTACAGACAGATTTCTGACTCAGTGATTGTCTCCATTTTTTTGTCACTCACCAGTTATGAAGTAGATCGATCCTATATATAGTCTTCCTTCTTCATATTCTGTTATTTTCTTTAAAAGTCGACAAAGATCAGTGACTGTACTGTTTATTGGACACACCTTGTGAGAGGGTGAAAAACTGCAAATTACAAAAGCATAATAAGAATTTGACAAAATATCAAAATCATAAGCAATCAAACAAAATTAAATGCGTAACTTTAACATGTGAGCTGAACAGGCCTATGCCTATCGCATGCTGGAAATGCGCGGTTTTACAAAACATTGTAGTTGCAGAATTTAAACATGATACAATATATTGCATAATACTGTTAGATACAGATGATCAAGTTAGATATAAATTCAAGTAAAACAGTATAAAACTTACTCCTTAGGGAGGCCAACATCACCAAACTTCACAGCCAAAACGCCAGGCAAACCGCATGGCTACCATAATTAGTATAAACAGAATATTGAACCCGATCGAAAAAAAATTATGCAATTAGAAAACGGCACAGTAACTATGCAAATAATAGATCACAAATACTGATTCTTCCACACTACAAATTCCTACTTCCAACGTCTCGCGCGTTTTCAAGTTTGCGCCTATTCAAAAATGTACAGTAGAGCTAAGAAATACCTTAGTTTCGAATTTTAAAAGATTTCTGTTTAAAAAAAATTACAAACACTATCTGAATAACTTTTCACTAAAAATACAATATTTATATCAAAATAAGTTTTATCAATGAAGAATTCGATTTTTTACGTCATAAATTATACATGTATTGACTTTTAGTTTCGTATAGCAAGTATGGCGGCCCCCTATGACATGATAATAACAATCTCTCGCCCTCAGACAGAATATTCTGAGCTGTGAAGACGCATAGGAGAATTAAAACTACAAAATACGAATGTGGATCATAGATATTTTACAACCATGCAGTCTGTGCTCTATCATTTACGCACGAAGCAAGGGAAACTTTTGACATTTTAACTGCACCAAAATTGAAATGTATGTAGCGTTTCGATCCAGGAATAATACGGTACACTACAGACAAGTGATATCATTTTAAAGTTGTTAATAAATATATAAAACGTTTTTTACGAAGCTCACAAAGTTCATTTTCCAAAGTTGTGTGATGAAAAACGACATTAATTAAAGCACATTATGATGAATATAACTGTTTAATTTAAATTATGAAGAAACACAGGTAATGAATTTGAAAAAAAAATGCTGTCAATTGTGATGTAGTGTTTGTTTAATTAAAATCAAATAAAAACACTAAATGTTTATAGATTTCATGATTTATTTTTTCAGATGGTGAAAGAATTATTATTAAACATATATTAATATGTTGACGGTGCGACCGTTGGAGCGAGCGCAGACTCTTCTATTGTTTTGATTTAGATCGGGCTCGTCAAACCGCACGTGACATTTGGTGCGTCTAGACTCTGACGTCACATGACGTCGTATATATGTTAGTTGCAATATCAAGAAAAAGCCTGAACAGTGCTGAAAGTTAATGAATAACCTTTCGTTTTCTATTTATCTTCAATATATCCATTAAATTAAGGCGAGTAAACTTTTTGTTGAACATTTGCCGTTATTCTCGCGAGAACGTAGCTAAGACAAGTGATGCATTGTGGGTCGAAATTACGGCGTCAAAAAATTCCATCGAATGAATGTGCAGTAGTCCGAATTTTCTCTTCGCACAGGCGTTGCTTTAAGAGCTCGCTATGCGAGCGGCGTTCGCGCCGCCTCGCTGCGCTCGCTATAACAGGGGCTTGTTCAACAATTGCATCTGCATGCAAAAGTTGTATTATGAGAGTATTGAGTGTTTTCTGTCAATCGTTTTTGTCAATTATTTTAGTCTTCATGAAAATTCATGAACATTCATAATACCTTGAACTCTACGTTTTTTCTGTCTTTAAAATGAAAATAACCAATATTCATATATATTCATCATTTGTTCATGAACTACATTTTATGAATATATTCATGAATAAAGTTCATGAACCATCTTTATGAACCAGTCATGAACCAGTCATGAACACATCATGAATGTTCATGAACGATTCATGACAGTTCCTGAAATCATGAATTTCACCTCGCAGGGGCAATGCTGGTGAGTTTCCAATGTACGGATATCGTGGAGGAATACCATCTCTTTTCAGTCTCTTGCGAACAATTAATTTTTTCATCCAACAATTGTAGCAGCCGTTT